CAAAACCACCGATGCCGATGCCAATTCATTTGCCTTTGCTTGCTACTAATCACCGACTGGCGACAATTACAGGTGCAATGTGGTTCCGTTTGCGGCGACTGGCCAGTTGGGCGCCGTGGCCATGGATTGTGATCGCGTCGTCTTCCACGGCGATGCCCCACAGCTGCCGTATGGAGCGCCCATTGTGGCGTATACGCAACGTCACAGCGGTCAACAGGTGCTGCCAGCACAGGTGAGAGTGCTAAGATTTTGGGAGGAAATGGAATTAAATTAAGATAAATATAAATATGCTCAATCACAGACCTTTGGCCAGCTGAAGTTGACCATCGAAGAGCTGGATTTGTCCAACAATCTGATCCGAAGGATTCCGGAGAAGGCCTTTGATGGCTTGAAGGATTCGTTGAACGAACTGCGGCTGGCAAATAACTTGCTGGGCGACAATCTCAATCCCATCTTCTCCACCGCCGAATTGCACGTACTGAAGAATCTACGCATCCTGGATTTGTCCGGGAATAAGATCAAATTGATTGAGGAGGGTCTACTCAAGGGTTGCATGGACCTCAAGGAGTTCTACATAGATCGCAACAGTTTGACGGCAGTGCCAACCAATTCACTGAATGGACCCAGTGCCTTGCGGCACCTGTCGCTGCGACAGAATCAGATTGGTAAGAGAGAACTCTCAGACAGAGAACCTTTTGTTATCCCTATTTTTCATATAAATAACTTATATCATTTAAATATTACTATTTTCCATAGGAACTCTTCTTCCCGCCTCGTTTAATGCCCAGCGCCAGCTGGAGATCATCGATCTGAGGCACAATGTCCTGCGAAGCATCGACAGCCAGGCCTTTAAAGGACTCCAACGTATTCGAGAAATCAAGCTGGCCGGCAATCGCATCAGCAACCTGAACAGCGATGTCTTTGAGAAACTGAGCTCCTTGCAGAAGCTGGATTTGTCCGAGAATTTCTTCAACCAGTTTCCAATGGTGGCTCTGGCAGCGGTTCCTGGCTTAAAGCATTTAAACCTGTCCTCAAATATGTTACAGGTAAGCGCTTAGAATAATGTAAAGCTCCTAGATTGTCTTTTACAAACACATTATTATGTTCCTTAGCAATTGGACTACACCCATATGCAGGTGATTAGATTTTTGGAAACCCTAGACATCAGTCGCAATTCCATAACTACCATAACGCCAGGAACCTTCCGGGAGATGAGTGCTTTGAAGTATCTAGATCTCAGCTTGAACTCGCTAAGAACAGTAAGTGCTTCTAAACAGTAAGAGCTCTATCTTTAAGACCTAACATCAATATTGTTACCCTGCAGATCGAGGATGATGCCTTGGAGGGTCTGGAGAGCCTGCAAACGCTCATTATCAAGGACAACAATATCCTGCTGGTGCCGGGCAGTGCCTTGGGTCGGCTGCCTCAACTGACATCTCTCCACCTGGACTTCAATCGAGTGGCAGCTCTCTCGGCGGAGATCCTGGGCTCCCTACAAGCAGGAGACATAACCACCCTTTCGTTGTCCAGGAATGTCATTCGAGAACTGCCGCCCGGTAGCTTCCAGATGTTCAGCAGCCTGCACACCTTGGATCTCGCCGGAAACTCCCTGGCCCTGATCAATGCGGACACCTTTGCGGGATTGGAGAGCACTCTGATGGCCCTGAAGCTGTCCCAGAACAGGCTGACGGGCTTGGGAGGAGCACCCTGGGTATTGCCAGAGCTGAGGAGTCTGGACCTGAGTGGCAACAGCTTGACCGAACTGCCCAGTAACATCTTTGAGGAGCTGGAGAACCTTCAGTCTCTGAATCTAAGTGGGAATCACTTGATTCCATTGACCGGAGTCCTCTTCAAGCCTTTGGTCCGCTTGCAAGTCATCGATTTGAGTCGCTGCAATATCCGCCAGCTGAGCGGTGACCTCTTGGCCGGATTGCAGGACCTCAAGCACATCCACCTCAACGACAACCAGCTGCAGGAGCTGCAGGACGGCAGCTTTGTGAACCTCTGGAACATTAGCTCCATTGACCTTTCCAATAACCGCATCGGTTCCATCCGTTCCGGAGCCTTTGTGAATGTAATGAAGCTGCAAAGGCTGAATCTCCGGGGAAACCAACTGTCCGCCTTCAAGGGGGAGTACTTCAACACTGGCACTGGGATAGAGGAGCTGGACATTTCGGATAACCAATTGAGCTACCTGTTTCCTTCCTCCTTCCGCATCCATCCCAGGCTGAAAGAGATCAAGGCGTCCAACAATAAGTTCTCTTTCTTCCCAGCGGAGCTCATTGCCTCGCTGCAGTATCTGGAGCACATTGATCTGTCCCACAATCAGCTAAAGACCATTGAGGAGCTGGACTTTGCCCGCCTCCCGCGACTGCGCGTACTGCTGGCCTCTCACAACCAACTGGACATGGTCAGCGAGATGGCCTTCCACAATTCCACCCAGCTGCAGGTCCTGGACTTGGCCTACAACAACTTGGACAGAGTGGGCGAGCGCACCTTCGAGGGCCTGGTGAGGCTGGAGCAGCTCAACCTGGAGGGCAACCGGCTGTCGGAGCTCTCCGACGGCGTCTTTGAGCGCACCAAGCTCCAGATGCTGGAGAATATCAACCTGGCTCACAATCGGTTCGAGTACGCTCCCCTGAACGCCCTGCAAAGGCAATTCTTCTTCGTGTCATCCGTGGACCTGAGCCATAATCGAATCAAGGAGCTGCCTGGCGATGATAGCATCATGGTGAACATCAAGCGAATCGATCTGAGCTTCAATCCGCTTTCGCCCAGAGCTGTGCACAACGTTCTCAACGAACCCAAGACAGTGAGGGAACTCAGTTTGGCTGGCACTGGCATTGAGCAGTTGGAGCTCCTGGAGACACCATTCCTGCAGTTCCTCAATTTGTCTCATAATAAGCTGCGCAATGTAAAACCAGAGGTCTTCCAGCGAGTCACTCTTCTGGAGACTTTGGACCTTTCCAGCAACCAACTCGAGTCCTTGGACGATCTTTCCGGGGCATGGCCCCAATTACAGGTGTTGCAATCTCTGGACGTCTCCAACAACAGCTTCGAGATCGTTTCCCAGTCCAACTTTGGACAGCTGGAGATGCTGCGATCCCTGCGCCTCAGCCACTTGCCGCATTGCAGCAGGATCGAGAAGAACGCCTTCAAGCAGCTCCCAAATCTGCTAAGCCTGGAGGCCTATGATCTTCCGCTGCTTGGATACCTGGACCTTCAGGGTATCCTGGAACTGCTGCCGGGTCTGGAAGCCCTCGACATCGAGGTGAAGGACTCCAGCATTGGCAGCGAGCAGATACAGCCCCTGAAGCATCCCCGTCTCAGAAGCCTGGGTATCCGGGGCGAGCGATTGAAGTCTATATCCTCGGGTACTTTGGCGGGTCTAAAGAGCAGCGACCTGAGTGTCCAACTAAGGAACACTTCGCTCAGTGCACTGCCTCCGGCCCTGCTGTTCCCGGTTCCCCGATCATCCCACCTAAACCTGGACGTTGAGGGATCCCAGATAACGGTGCTGGTGCCACAGTTCCTCAACGCCTTAGAGGATCGAAGGGCCAGTCTACAGTTGAAGGGACTGGCAAGCAATCCGATTGTGTGCGACTGCAATGCTCGGGCTCTCCGCCGCTGGCTGCCCAGCTCTGGAATGCCGGATGTCACCTGCCAGGCACCAAGTTACCTGGCCAATAGGAAGCTCATCGAGGTCGGCGATGACGAACTCACCTGTGATGCCCGACGAATGACCTCTTCCACCTCGAGACCCACTGCCACAGTGCCCCATCTGCTGAAGACCTCCAGTCAACTGGTTACCCGCAGCTCCACCACTGAGGAGCCGCTCATCATTTGGAGTCTGGAACCGACGCAACCGCCCAGCCTAAAGAAGATCAAGACCAAGGCGCCACTCATGAAGGCCCAGGCTCCGATTATGAGCAACGACGATACTTTGATTATTGGCATTGTGGGCGGAGTGGTGGCCTTCATAGCCATACTGATCATTATAATTTGCATCATCAGGCTGCGCATGAGTAATGCGGAGTACCAACAGAATGCGGCAATGATCGGCATTCCGGCGGGCATGCAGATGGGCGCCCACAATGCCGCCTACAATTACAAGAACGGCAGTGGAGCGGGAGCAGCGCTATATGCGGTGCCTCCGTATCAGGCCAGCTACGCCACCCTGCCGCACAAGGCCGCCTCCATCCACCAGTCTAGCCAGAATCTCTCCCAGCGCCAGCAACAGCAACAACAGCAGCAACAGGTGGCTGCGGCGGCGGCTGCCTACTCGACCATGTCCCGCATGTCGTACTTCAGTGGTGCCGGCGGAAACGGCGATGGAGCCGAAAGCCTGACGCACCAGCATCCGCATCAGCATCAGCCCTACATCATATACTCGGATGACAAGGCCTACAGATAGGCAAAAGCTTCCTTTCATTCCCACTCCAAACCATTTGTCCACTTCGAAACTCAGTCAGTCAGTCAGGCGCATCGCCGCTAAAACAGGTTCTACATTATCGCCACTCTCAGCCAACGTTGTATATAGTCTTAAAACCATCTAACTGTAACCCTAACTGTATCTATTGTCTTAATCATAATTAAGTGCAAGCAAATCGCGTATGCGGAATAAACAAATCTAGAATAATATATAAAGAATTCTACTTGGTGGGTGGCAGAAGACTTTGGCCAGTGAAGTTAAAGTTACAAATGTATTATACTTTGCCTCTATGTTCCAACTATCCAATGACAACAACCATTAAGACAAGGGAGTCTAACGGAATAGCATAACGACGAGCAAACGAAACAACGAGTAGAACCGAATAAAGAGTGATTAGAGAACTTTGATTCCCCAGAAAGGAAACATTCTCAAATACCTAATTATAAATAAGACTTACTTCAACATACTTTAACAAAGCTGAACAGCTCCTTTCTAAATGGGTCAAATTGAAAGTTTCAAACCTTGACACCTTTTTATAAATTAAAATATTATTTTAAAAAAACCAATATAGATGATTTGAGCATTTTTAATACAGTAAATTTCTCATACAAGGTTTCATAAAAAAATGTATATATGGATGTGTATAAATATTTTTATGTATGTATATATATATATGTATATGTATGTATGCAACTTCAAGATCGCCAATTCACAGTCTTTCTATTCCATATATTTCACTGGATAACAACAAAACAGTTATCCTTCCATTTAAATGCCAACAAAAAACATGTGTGTATCAAATGCACAATGTTACGCCTATGTAACTAATTAATATATAAAAAATAACTTGGCCATAGGATACTCATAGGATGCACAGAGAGAAAAGAAAACAAATCACTTTGGCAAGTAGAGAGGAGCAGGTAAATAACGACGCTCTAATCTCCGAGTTCATGAGGGCCCACCTAAGGTTAGGCCATTTGCGAGTATGAGGTATACAGCTTGTAGTTGCGACGCCGATAGTAGATCATAAGGCCATAGCTGGCCAGCAGCAGAGCGATAATAATCAATATGAGAATGCCTGGGGGGTATTGAAAAGGGGTATTTTAATAATTACGAGTGATAGGGAAGCCACAAGTATTCACTCACCCGTCGCCGCTCCCAGATTCGCCTCCTCGTAGGTCATCATCATCGTGGAGCGTTTGCACTCACGCTCCCAGTCCAAGGGCAGGACGTCCTGATACAGTGCAGTCAATTTCTTAAGCGGACATGACGGTCCGCAGCCGGGAATGTCCAACGGAAGAGGTTCTGCTGTTGTGTTCTTATAAAAGACAGAAACCAATGGCGTGTTGTGGTCATCTATCCGCAGCTCCACCGTAATGCACGCCACGTAGGGGGGACTGTGGAGCTAAAAATAAAACAAAGAAACCAAGTAAATAAAAGACTCGTGAAATGATTAAGAGTTTCGCTTACTTCAAACACTTTCAGGGTGTTGAGAACATTGGCTATTGTCGTATCATGCGCACTGTAGATCCACATGGAACGATCGGGCTGCAGGCGTCCAGTGGCCTTATCATCGATTCGCTGGAAAATATCCTTCAGCAACGGACCCGTCTTCAGTCTGGCCAGCTTGCGGGTATACGTATTGATGGCAAATGCAAAGTTTGCCGCATATGTGAGCTCCTCGTGACCGTACACCTTGTTAGTCCATTCCGGCAGTGACATGTTGTACAGGCTCTCGATAAACAGTGTGTTATTCAAATACGAAGCATCGAGGAACGTCTTAACACTGCGTCCGCTTTTCTCGCTAAGGTATTCAAAGAGATCCCTGTATTTATCGGCGAGAGCCACAAACTCTGGCGAGGATTCCAAGGAGGCCAGCTCGTAATCGTAGGCAGGACATGGAGCCTTGGCCGCCAGTATGGGATCATCCTTCTCGGGCGTGGTGTGAACGGGTATGGGTTGCCATTTAATGGCGGGATTCCAAATGTCTTCGCCTTGCGGCTCGTAGAGTCCAGCCAAATTCGATTGAGCACTCATTAGGGTACGATCAACATCGGTGGATTGCACAAAGATGTCCTCGTTGGAGTACCTTGAGCTGAGCAGCGAGGAGTAACGTTTCCGCAGCCATTTACCTAGGTCGTAGTGCTCTTGTTTGCCCAGCTGTGTGGGGAGGTTGAAATTTAGTCAATGTATTTACTTAATATACCGCAAAAGCTTTTTAAGAGCTTAACGGGTTGTTTTTTAAATAAATAAATAACAAAAAATTAAGATTAATACTTACGTTTGTTAGTTGACCCCATCCTGTGGTCCAGAACTTCAGGTTATTCCAGGGATCCGTGGGATACGGATCGACTGGCGTTCTGTCGCCGTGGCGGAATATCTATTTTGGAGACAACTTTTTAGATAGCAAGCTCCAACACGCACACACACGCACACCCACACAGCTGCTCTTACCACATGCACGAACTTCAGCTCCCCTGGCAGTTTGGCCAACTGGTCTGGGCGACCTTCGACTTCGACATTAGCATACGCTTGGTGCAGGGCATTCCCCAGGCCCACAAAGATGCATAGCACGGCTATGGAGACGAGGCAGCAGTGCCGTTTCCACATTTTCACAGCCACACTTGACCACGAACCACAGCGACTGTAGAGCATATGTTAGCAAAATTGGAAATCAATCCAGCTTCCGACGCTATGGGCAAAGGGTCTTACCTCAACTGGCGACCTGGTCGTGCGTGCTTTTCATATATATAATTATGTAGGTGAGCACCTGGCCAAACTGAAGTTTAAACCAACGACGTACTTCCTTGTTTATAAAATCGTTGACAAATTTGATAACCACAAAGAAGCAGTGCTGCCAAGTGCAGCTACCAAAACAAGCTAGAAAAAAGCTAAACTAGCTATAAGTATTTAACACATTTAAAAATATAAAATTTCTTTTTAAAATCCCTTATCTCAAAACATTAAAAATATTTGGAAAATATTATTGTTATTAAAATTGTTTTTAAAAAAATTCAAGCCCCTTAGAATTGTTAACTAAAGAACGCTTTAAAATAGACAGCACTATTACTTGCTCGATTAACGATAAACGATAACAAGCGGGCTACGGCTGAAATTTGAAATTGAAACAAAAATAGTAGCAACTGGTATTTACGATTGTATTGATTGACTCGTCGTATCTAGTTGCACACAAGTAATATGATTATTTAAGTATTGCATTAAATATTGAAACAATCTTAACTACGAATAACAAATATACTGTTGATGTTGGTCTTAAAAGTACGGCTATAGGACAGATTTAAAAAAAAATAATAATAATAAATCCCGTCGGCTTAACTAAACGATTCTGAGCGCGGAAGAATGGAAAACGAAATTCGGCTATTACATTATTAGTTGGAGTTGGGAGTTTGGAGTTCGCGTGGACTGGCCAAACATCGGAGTGGAGTTTCACTTGCTTAAAACCTTCTATTGCCGCCCATATTTGGTCCAGGCCGGGGTCCGCTATAGCTGCAAGAAGGAAAACATTGATTATGTATTACAAATCGCATTCTTGGGGCACAGATTGCTTCACCTACCGGTTTCTTTGGCTTCCCAAAGGCGGAAAATCCGTGTGATATGCATTGAAGCCATTCTGATTGTGACCCTTTCCTAAGCCGCCGCCTCCTCCTCCTCCACCCCGCTTGTTGGGACCCCCGCCTCCCTGTTGGCTATTGTGTTCGTTGCTGGCTGCTCCACTGCTGCCACGTCTGGCATTGAAACCCCCGCCTCCATTGAAGAAACCTCGTCCACCCTGTGGGTTGCCTCTGAGTAGGAAAGAAGGCACTTGAATTAATAGAGAAGTTCACATAGGAACAAATTCTGAACATACCCATTGGCACCAGCGTCCCCACGACTATTCGAGTTCATGGGTCCGTTTCCAAAGCGTCCAAAGCTCATTTGCTGATGCTGGTGCTCCACCGGCAGGGCAAACCCACGGCGATCCTGACGCACATTGCTGCCAGCGCCGCCTCTGTGATTCAGCGATCCGCCACCGCCGCTGCCGGAGCTGCCTGCCCGGAAGTCATTGCTGCTGCTGCTGCTCCCGCCTGCTCCAAATCCGCTCGTCGGGCTGTTCCTGAAGTTCCTCTTTCCAGCTTGAGGGCCACCGTTATTGTCCCACCGACTGTTACCGAAGCGATTGCCTTCGTTGGCTCCACCTCCCCCAAACTTTCCAGTATTGCCTCCGCCCGCGAATTTGTTCCTGAATCCGGGCGCCTGAGAGCCAGCCTCTATGTTTTGCGGCGGTCCCTTGCTGTAGGGAGCACTCCGCTGTTGCCTATAGTTGGGTTCGTTTCGCATAGGTCCAAATTTGTTGTTGGTGTTGGGTCCCCGGGCATCGGCCTCATCCTTGGAAAATCGACCGCCGCGGCCGGTTTCATCGCGGAAGTTCCGCTTGAAACTGTTACCCGACGCCTCTGTGGATCTCTTATTGGGGCCACCACTTTGTCCTAAATGGACGCACATTAATCATTATATGTTGTTATATCTGAGATGAGAGGTATATTACCCTCGGGGGGCCTGCGTCCCTGGTTGTCACCACTGGCCGGCGGACCGCGACCGCCGTTTCCAGGGCCGTACTTTGGCCTGCCCGCCTCCACGACGATGGCCTGGCCCTTGAAAACGATACCGTTGAGGGCGGCAATGGCCGCCTCCGCCATGTCCGTGGTCTCCAGGTGAACGAAGGCGCACCGATTCATCACGTCACACTCTACAACTGAGCCGTAGTTGGAGAACAGGCGACGCAACTCCTCCGGCTTGCAGCGCGGCAGGCTGCCAACGAACACCTTGGCGGGCTACATGGATAAAGCTTGCATTACACGGGTTCTGCCCCATCCGCCAGCGGCAACCTCTTCAACTCTTACGTACAGTAGACATGTATTTTTAAAAATTCTCTATATATTTTCGGTTTTTTCCTTTATCACCTCTCCCATCGCTAGCTGCAATCGATATCGATGAGACATGCAAAATACGATGTTTGCGCAAGATGCGATATATCGACCGTTTTCCATGTTGTTCAAAATTAGCAAAACTTGAATGTACAAAGTTTACAGAATTCACAAAATGAATGAAAATAATATATTTAAGATAAAAACATTTAAAAACTGCTTAAAAACATTACTGCAAAGACATCGTGTTCCGTGACAAATGCTATCGATGTATCGATAGCTTTCAGCTAAACAACCTCGCATTTGTTTACAAATTTAAATATTTAAAATATATTATTGCCAGCAGCCTGTGCACAAATGTGGCAACCTGGGAATGAGGAGAGCTATTTTGACAATATGGAGTTCAGCAAGAACGTGGTCAACATCCTGCCGACCGTGGAAATGCTGGTGAGCTTCAATGGCGACATGACGCGAACCAATAGGCGAGCGTGCCTACTGTACGCCGAGCGGATGGACTTTAAGGAGCTGATTGTAAGTCAAGGCAGCGAAGATCCTTTAAGATATAACAAGCCTCATCTTTCCTTGATCCACAGCAACTGCGTTTGGCTGAGAAAGCGGACCAGCGGCGCATGTACATCACCACCGTGGACAGCGCCTCCTTCCACGAACTGAAGAAGGATCAGTCTTTGAACGTGACCTTCTCTGGCTTTATGGAGAACGTAGTCCGCATGCTTAAGGACTGCCAGGCTGGCAAACTGGAACTGCATCTGTCCGCCAGGGATCAGAGCCTCACATCCAGCCAAAGCCACGACTACCACCTGCAATTCGTAGAAATTCGGTCCTTTAAGAACCTAGTTCACCTGTGCCTGCCCTGCCGCTCAGCCCCCTTAAACACCGTGCTCTTCTACATCAATCTCATGCTGGATGCCTCCCACACCAAGCAGTATATGCTGGAGCAGAGTATTCAGCAGCTTCAAACAGAGCTAAACTCCCAGCGCTTGCACACGGAGCGGCTGGGCACGGAAAACAGCAATCTCAGAGAAGCCTTGGCGGAAAATAGCAGGATTCTAGAGGACAAGCACGCTCTGGAGATACAGCGAGTCCAGGAAAGCCTGTCCAAAGTCAACGACCAGCGCAGTAGTGAACTGGAACGGCATCGCAGAGCGATCGCAGGACTCCAGGCGCAGTTGGACAAGGCTTCCCAGGACAAAGCCGACCTGAAAACAGGCCAAGAGCAAAGCGAGAAGCGATGTCAAACACTGGTCGAGGAGCTATCCTGCTGTAAATCACGCGTGGTAACCCTAAAAGAGCAGAACGACAAACTCCATGCTGACATAGCCAATGCCAGGAAGCAGGAACGCAAGCTGGAGTACAAGATCGAGGATCTCAAGCAGCACACAGCTGAATTACAGGAGCACATTCAGAAGGGCAACAAGGAGAAGGTATGAAAGAATATCATTAACCGTATCCAAGGTCTAATATTACTGTGTTTCTAAAAGGCCAACATTGCCGCAGAACTGGAGGCGGAAAAGAAAATCCTGCACACCAAGCGTCAGGCTTTGGAAATGGCCTCCGAGGAAATATCAAAGGCCAATCAAATAATCCTCAAGCAGAGCCAAGAGCTGCTCAACCACAAGAAAACCATTGCTTGGCGCACTGAGGTGGCCCTCCAGCAGGAGAAGGCCGTCCACGAGAAGGAGCAGCTGTTGGCCATGCGCGAGGATGAGCTGCGTCAGGCACGTATAACTATTGAAAAGCTTAGGGAGGAGATTCCCGAGCAACTGCAGTCCATGCGTCACTTTGCCCAAGGATTGGAACAAAAGTACTCTAAACGTAAGAGATTTTCCCTTATGCCGGTTTCGGTTTCTCAATTTCTAACAATTCTTTTTTACTTACAGAGATACTCAGCCTAAAGGAGCGACTTTCCATTCCCACTGGCAAGGAAAATCGACGCTAGTTAAGCTTTTTGTTTATAAGTATCTTGTGTTTTTTTTATTTTATTTATCAGTAAAAGTAGATGTTTGGCTCTAGTCATAATCCTCCTGGACACTCTCTCCCGCATGGGCAGTGGCCACATTCACCGCCTGGCTAATGTCCTCGATTTGGTTTAGTTTCAGGCGCTCACGTATCAGTTCCGCAATCGCCTTTTGGGTGCGTCGCTCTAGACGCTCTAACTTTTTGCTGGCATCTCGCTTGAGGTCCCAGTCCGGTTTCCGCGGCGCCAGATTGGTTATATCAATTTCGTCGATCACCATTGGCTGCTGCAGCAGACTCAACTGGTCCTCCACGGCGGTTTCGATGCTCCCCGTGGGCTCCTGGGCCAGAATCTCGCCGGTAGTGTTCTCGTTTTGTGGCTTGTAGCTGCGGAATATGGGTCTGTAAGGCGAGACATGGCATTAATTATTGTTTAAATTGGCTCATTTAACAATATTACTTTGGCAAGTTCTCAGTGGATTCGGCGGCATCACTTCCTTTATTTTGCGCCTGTTCGCGGAGTTTTTGCAGCCTCTCCTTGCGTTTCAGAGATTCCTCTGTTAAGCGGCCTACGTTATGGTCCATTATTTATTTAAACTATATTTAAGAGAGTTTAAAAAATGCTTGCTTTGTTTACGTTCCTCGGGTTAGAGCTGGCTAACCATTGAAGAAACATCGATAGTATCGATATCGAGCGATAGTCCGATATGGTGCTCCAACATCGATTCTACCAAAATTTAAATTAATTTTCTTGTCTTTCAAATGGTATGTATTCTTTTATTAACATTACTACAGCTAAAAATGTTATATTTTAAATAATAATAAAAAAAAACAGGCAGCTTGAATCATGATAGCATACATTTTAATTCGATTTTGTATTTATCCCCGCGTTTTATAAGGAAAAAAAGTAACTTAAGATAGTGGCTTTTTGAAGCATAATTAATAACGTAAAATAATAGCTGTTGTTCTACAGCAGGCTAAAACAAAAGTATTTAAGTTCAATCCTACAAAATAGTTTGAAAATCTCCCAAATAAGCAGTAATTCTACCAAAATTCTCACAAGAAAGTTGAATTGTGGCATCTCGGCAACGCAGTCTAGCACTTCCATCACGTTAATAGGTATTTCATGTCTCTAGTGCCTGAAAAAATATTCAAATGTATATAAAAATGTCATTGTTGGAATTTATTACTCAACTTGCTTGATTTCTTACCTTAAATTGCCAGAACTAGTCTCCGTGATTAGTCGGCCACAACCAGAGAATTAAATCTAAACCCTTCGCAGCTGCGCTTCAGTGCTGCAAAATCAATTTCCTTATTAAGAAGGCTGGCCACTTATATAGTTCCTGTCGAAATTGTCAAGAATGAGTCCTTTGAACGATTTGTACATGGTACGACTTACCCGGATGATAGTACTTTTCTTAGTTTGAACACCTTACGGGCCTTTTTGTATTTATTATAAGAAAGAAAACAGTGGGCTTCATCAAAGGGCACATGTGTTATATACAACAAATATAAATAAGCTGCATGGATCTCATTCTCCTCCATCAAGATGTCTGCTAACATGATTCGAGAATCGCTTTGAAGCTCTTGAAGCTTATTCCCCAACGAAACTTCTACCGAGTTTTTTATGACTTCTGCGAGGGGAATAAGAGTGCTAAAAAAAATTAACTTAAGTATTAGTTTGTCCTGGGAATTTTGTCAACCTTTACCTGTTTTCTGTACACTTGACAGCCAGTTTATGGAGGATTAGTTGAGCGAGAATGCGTGTGGAATTACTGGATCCCATTATGAACGGTATAAGTAGGGAAAACATTTCCGATAATTTTTTCTTTTCGTTTAGTTTTACAAAATTTTTAATAATGAAAATGTAGGCAATGGAGAGATATGACTCCTGTTGCCTTGGCTGCAAACTTGGTAATGCTTCCAGCACCCAATCGATGTTTTTCACACAAGTGCCTAGCAGAAACTCGTGCATTAGGTTTATCCCGAGATGATCGCTGGGCAGCAACAAAGTCTTCAAGGATTGAGGATCATCACAAAACTCGCGAATCGAAATCAAAGCAGAAGCAATTCGTAGTTTCTGTCTGTGCACCTCAGAGTTTTCACTGTAATGAGGATGCTCCATCGACAGCTTTTCGTTAATTTTCAGAAGTTCTTTGAAAACTTTAGTTTTAATTTCAGCATTTCCGTACTTAATTAAGTTTTCAATAGTCAGTCGTCTAATTCTTGCATTTCGGTCCGGTTCTCCAAAAAAGTAGAATACAGAGCAAGTCTCAATGCTACGAGAAAGTTTGAAATCGTCTCAAAGTTGGCTTATAAAAACGAAGGAGTAATGAATGCTCACTCACCGTGCCAGTCCTTTTGTGGGTTCTCCATAAAGAAGCAGCTTTAAGTAAAGGGATATACTTAGTTTTCCGTCTGGTAAACGATCCAATCTCTTGTGAATCATTTGATTAGTTATGCAGCTTTCAAACTCCTCTTCTGTTAAATTTCTATATGCGTAGTCTAGAACGTTGTTACTAAAGAAAAATTCAATTATATTAATGAAACAGTCTTTAAGGTAATAGCTTACATATGACAAAAATATCTCACACGGGCAATCAGAGCGGACAGTACCGTCTCGTTTTTTATGCGATTCCCATGAACTCCTAATAAGCGCGTTAAAGTAGACATGGTTTTTTCGGTACCCTGTTTCAATAGTTCCAGGGGATCAATTTCTAGTTCATCCATTTGACGCCATGAATCTAGGTTCGAAGTAAAAAGGTCCACGCATCGGGCCTTCAAAAAGGATGTCTCCTCGCTAGTCTGGCAGTCCAGTCGTTCCAGCAAGTGCGCTTGCATCTTTCCGAGACTCGCTCCCTTCTGAAGCAACGAAGTGTTTACTTTGTAATACTGGCGTAAAAACTGCATTATTAATTCCTGGTTATTACTAAATAGAGCGAGGCGCCAAAAACCATGTATATGTTCGCAAAGAGTTTCACATTCCAATATTAAAGAAGTATTTAAAAGATTCCCTACAATGTTATTCAATCTCCAAACATCGTGGCTAAATATGTCAAAGGATCTCCGGTTAAACAAGTCAATATGATTGTCAAGGTCTTTGCATTTGTAGATTTTTTTTTCTAATCTGTCGTAGTCAAGATATGGATCTGCCTTATTAAATAACGACTCCATGCAGACAATGTAATCCCTCAAAGAAAGAGCGTCGATTGTGTCCTAAAAGTAAAAAGTAGTATCACTATCTTTAATCCAAACTAATTCATATTTTTTACCTTGAACATTAATAAGACATAATCTTGGGCTGTCACTCGAAAATCAAAGTTACCGATGGCCCGAACAACAAAACACAACTTAATAAGCAGCTCCTTAGGAACCCTCTGCACACGTTTAGACTTGAAACTGCGTAACCAGAGGAACAGAGGAACGTTCACCCATGAAACTGTCATCAGTGCTTCCAGAAAGGTTTCCACATGGCCATCGGTTACAAATAGCTCCAGTTGCTCCTTCTTGAGCCAATTGTAAGCCTCCAGATTAAACAACTGGCTCCTGTTGGTGGCCACAAGGAACTCTGACAACAGGTTAAAGCGGACGAGCTGCTCTACGCTCAGATGGGCCAGAAAGTATTGCAGAATTTTGCACAGCACCTGGATTCTGTCCTCCTGCAAGAGTCTAAGGCACAGGGTGCGCAACCATGCCAACCAACGATCGCCGAGATCGGGGGACATGAGCTTCAGCTGGGGAAGCTGCATCTCGAGGGTACTCACAACCACGTTTGAGTCCTGATTTTTTAAGTCTGCTATGATGACTGCAAAAGCTGTCCACTGCTGGGCACTGCACTGCAAACAATTTAGTAAGGCTTCGCTTTGCTCTCCACCGATTTTACACATCTTTTGGATCTTGCTGATCAGAAAGTTTGATGATTTGCAATTCTGTGGCTCCTGAGATAGCAAAAGCTCTCGCGTGGCGTCAAGCAGACGCAGGAAACAGTTCGCTCCCAGCACGCTGACAAAATTTTCAAACAGATGTTCCAAAATCTGACCAGTATATGGATAAACATCATCCAAAGTCCCTGTCAGGAGTTCTTGCAATAGCAGCGCGCCATCGTCGGCAGGAATTCTGCTGATTTGCAGCTGGACGCAAACGAGGGCTCTGGCCAGCAGGTGGCGGCGAGTTGATGTATGTTCCTGGCTTCCAGAGATCACAGCAGAGATTACCTTGTGCATAAGTTGGGTGCTGCAGTTCACGTTGTCCTGAACTAGATCGAACATGCCCTGGACCACGCGCTTCAAGCCTGGTTCATGGTCCCGAAGAATCTCCGCCAGCTCGCAGAGTAACTTATCCATTAAATCCATTGTTGTAGGTGGCTTTTGTTCATCAAACTTATTGCTCAGCTGAAGATGGATTTTACGCGGTTTTTCCGAAAAACGTGCTTTGGTGATGACTGGAAACTTAAGCGCAATCGAAACTCATACAAACGATTATTCGATTACCAGTGTAATCGGCACTCACTTCCTTTGTTATTGTTTTTGTAATGTATTTAAGAGGCTTTTTGCTAAATTGGTGGATTAACCTTATATACTATTCCATTTCAAGGACTACAGAACAAAAAAACTTCACTGTATATATTTAACTATGAACTATGCCTTTTGGAGATTAAGTATAACAAAATGTGGTGCACTTTCTAGACTTTTAAATCATATCTTATATTGTAAACTGTAAAAAATCCATATATTTATGAATAATTGATTTTCTTTGAGATATGAAAATCGGATAACTTATCATATACATATGTAGCTGCCATAGAAACGATCGATAATTGTACAGAAAAATGTAAGGCTTCGAGTGTTAAACTGTAACTACCAAACTGTAAATATAATAAGTATAGGTAATTGTAATTAAATTTTATATTACTTTGGTATTTTAGCATTTATATTTAAAATTAAATTAAAATGAAAATGATTATATTATATATTTTAAATCTAAAATATATTATTTTTTATACGGTTAAATATTTTTCTTTTTAAGTTTATCCAACCCAAATTATTATATGCTATATATAAATATACAACTTTTATATATTTCCTTTTAATTTTTCTATTGATTTAATCAAAATGGATCGAGGGAATACAAACTGACCTTTCTTTCTTGTTTGTATACTATTTTCGACGTCAAAGCTAATGTTTAATTAATTATATATGACAAAATATATACATTTTATATATAATATATAACATTCATACATCATAAGACTTCTCTCTGCACCGATAAAAAAAAACTTACAGATTCAGCGGATTTTGGGCTATTTAAATGTATTTATTTAACAATATATTATTTCCTTAACTTTTCTTTGGCTTTTCATTCGCTCACTAATTCCTCATCTGACCACCCGCTGGTGGGTTATGGTGGTGTCGGCGACATCTTCGCTGCACTGGTCCTTGTCGCCCCACCCCCACACGGGATGGGAGCCATCTCCCGTCCGCTGAACCCGCCGTCGAACCAAATCCGGGGACACACTCTTCAGGTCGTAGGCCCAGCCCAGCCAGGCAAAGAAGTTGATGAAGGCCGTCGTGAGGTCTCGAGAGTATGGACCCAGCTCGGCACTCTTATAATCCCACGGAAAGACGTGGTGATAGTTGTGGTAGCCCTCGCCAAAGCGCAACCAAATGAGGAAGCTCTCGTCGGTGGGACTGATCTTCTTGTCGTATGGCCGCTTGCCGTACATATGGGCCGAGCTGTTTACCAGCCAGATAAGGTTCAGGGTGGTCACCCAGCGGAGCAGGGCCATCACGTGCCAGGAGACGTTGAGCGACTCGCCCCACAGATACATCGGCAGCACGGTGGGCAGGACAAAGCAGATGAGCGGCATCAGGAGTAGGTAGTACTTCTTCTGGAACATCACCAGGCGATCCTGCTCCAGGTCGGAGAGGTCAATCTGCTTGCCCTTTTCCACAACTTGAGGATGCTTGCGGACGCATAGCCAGCCGATGTGCGAGAAGAACCAGCCTCGCTCCGAGTTGTACGGGTCAGCGTCCGTTTCCGCGTACTTGTGATGCACTCGATGATCTCGCGCCCAGATATACACTGCATCCTGGAAGGCCAGGGTGTTGAGGAACAGGAAGATCAAGCGGAGTGGCACGTTAGCCTTGAAGGTGCGATGTGCCCACAATCGATGGGCGCCGCCGGAAATGCCCAGGGCCGTGACAATCAGGGCGAACGGAAAGAGCAGCACCGTAGTCCAGGTGGCCTTCGTCAATAGCAGCCAGACGCCGTACAATGCGGATAGATGAAGGATCACAAAGAGCACAATATTGACCCAAACCAGCTGCAGCTTCCGACCATCGGTGGTCTTTAGCTTTCCGACATCCTTGATTAGGCCACCGTCTATCGTCTCCGCATCCGACTCGTAGAGCACTCCGGTGGTATCTTTGCTGTTCGGCGGCATTCTGGCCTACGTTTGAGTCTGGAATTGCCCCGGCGTTTTACTTATACCAAATTCCAATAGGCGGAACCGAGCAGGTTAAGTACACTTAGAGTTTAGGTTCACGATCTATTGTAATTTGTTGGCCCAAAACTATGCGCATATTTACATATTCATTTGTTGATTGGAACATAATGAAGTGGACTACCTCAACGCTAATAAGGGGTAGTTTTAATGAAAGTCAAAGGGAAAGACTTAGAAGAGTAATTAATTTCATTAAAAGCAACAACTATATTTTTTAAACATCGAAAATTCGACCTTGGGTAACGTGAAATTGATTTTAATTCAATTTGTAATGATAGGCAGCTGAATTAAGTAATCCTAAGGGTACAAAGTAGCAATATTAAAAACCTGGGACATGATGTAATCATGTACTTAACAAATTTATCAGATATTAAAGATTATAAATATAATTGTTTTATTTTTACCCCAAAAATATCACACAATTTGGAAAGATTTTATAATATGTTGGCTATTATACTATTTTCTCAGTGTATACATACCAATTTTATTATTATTGGGTGTATCCATCCGTGTATTTATATATATGCCCTCTCAATAAGTCTAGATCGCCCCCTGTTTATGCATCGCACGCGAATCCACAAATACGCGAGTGGAATTAAATATGATATTGAAAATATTGTCCCAACAGCAAAGCAAGCAATCTGAAGTATGTACATATATAAAAAATCAGTTCGTTTATTTGTTTCAGTTAGTGAATGAAAATGGCTTGGTCGTTGATAATAATAGAAAATCGAATCATATATTATTTTCATTGCATCTGGCTTTTATTATTGGGTTTCTAAGCCCAGATAAGATAGATCGCCTTCTATACCTTTCTTTGGCGTCGAATATACTATAAAGTTAAACGAATTCCTATCCAGTTTTTAATATGTAATTGGTTATGGAATATAGTACAACATCTATTATAAAAAAAGTTTATTATAAAGCTTTGAACTTATCTAAATCTTTCGCTGTTCTACACATATTTTTCATGGTTCCAAAGCAAACTGGTACAGGTGATACTAGCTGCTAATCAATAATAGGTAGTGAAATAATATTGTAATATCAATATACATTTGTTGTAGCGTTTAAAACCAGTATATCTATATCTCGGTTTAGATAAATATATAAAGTTTTTCAAAAATTTAAAATTTTGTGTTATTGGTTTACCAAAACAACATGGATTACGTTCCTTCTTGTGAAAAATATAGTTATTCCCTGTACAACCGAATAACTGAAGTTTTAATTTAGTTCCCAGTGGGAGCTTCCCACTATATTTATCCGTATATACAACGACCCAAAATAGTAGGTAGTTAAATTTTCAAACAAAAGCCCATATTCTTTAATTGTTTTATAGTTTAAAATGTAATCTGTGTTACTTTTAGTATGATAATATAAAACGATGCTCTATATAAACTCTGTATTCACTCTGGTATTTCAAGTGCAGCATATAAAGCACATAAAGCTGACGAAAACAAAACAAAAATACACGAAATGCTGTCCGGAATAAAAATAAAATTTATAGAAAAACTATGTTTGTCCTGTTGTTTTAAATATTTTCATGAAAAATATATCAGTTTTATTGTTTTTTTTTTTTATTTTTTGTGTTGAAGCAACCCGGTCTGAACAGTGTATTAACCGTAACACTCTTTTTAGTTTAAGTGTGCCCAGTCGGCATAGGGATGGTCGATAGTGGAAAAAATAAATCGCGCAGCAGCCAGCATCGATACAATCGATATTACTATCGAGGTTTTCACAGCTCTAGTATAGAGTATAGAAGCTGAAAATCGGTCGCAAAACGAATTCAAATCCAAACCGGCAAAGTCTACTGGTAGCTGCTAGTGGAGAGCGAGAAAAACTGGGAAAATAAAGGCAAACTAACAAACGCGGCAAGCTGTGAGTGTGTGCATTGCGAGATCGAATTAAACAAAAAAAAGTGCGCAAGGAAGAACAAGCAAGCGAAAAGGAATTCGTGATTCTCGGCGAATGCTCTGCGTCTCCCTTTCGCCGCTCTCTGCCCCCGTGCCTGTGCCAGTGTGTGTGTGAACGAGTCGAGTCCACCCGTGTGTGTGGCGGCGTGCCTGTCGTGTGCGTGTGTGCGAGCGAATCTGCAAGAAAAGCAACGCCAAAAAATAAGTAGAGAAGCGAGGAAGCGATACAGCGCGTGTGAATCATCTCAAGAAAAGAACAGCTAATCCGAGCAGCAGGAGCATGGAGCAGCACGAGGACAACTACTTGCAAAACCGCCTCGCCGAGAGCCTGCAGATATCCGGCGGCGCCGGCGAGAACCATTTGCTGCATACTCTGGCGGATTCCGCCGGCGGCGACCTCTCCGCCGCTCCGAAGTCTGAGCGGGACGGCGATGGCGACGAGGACGAGGAGTGGAAGTACATACACGAGGTGCAGCAGTCCGAGAAGCTGCAGCAGCAGGAGCAGCATCCTTTGGACACGGGCAATGGCTTTGGCCAGGATGACCTCATCCACGGCAATGGTTTGGGCAACGGCCTGGCTGCCGCCGCCGCCGCCGCAGGTCTCAGTCTGGTCTATGAAGAGGAGGACGTCGAGGTGATCAAGCACGACGGCGATCTCTCGACCAACTCCAACACCACCACATCCACGGGCGAGGTGCTACAGCACCAGGAGGAGGAAGAGCAGCAGGAGCAGCAACAGCAGATTGAGCTGGAGCCAGAGGAGCAGCAGCAATTGCAGCAGGAGGACGAGGATGAGCCCAGCTCGGTGGCCACTACATACGGCACCAGCAGCCTCAGTGAGAACAACCAGGAGGAGCCGGAGCAGGAGCTGGCGCCACAGCCCACTGCTGGAGCCCAGCAGGAGCTGCTCCTCGAAGCTTTCGACAACAAGGAAAACGACGAACCCGCAGAGAGTCACGAGGAGAGTCACTCGCAGCTGAATCCCAATGCAGTAGCCTTTGTGCCCAGCTTTGGCTCCCAGCCGTCGTCGCCACTTCCCAACAACGCCGGCGAGGAGCCCGTACTGGGTCTGAATCCTCGCCAGCTACTGGCTCCGCTGGACGATTTGGTCGCCGAGAGTCCGCGCAAGGGGTCCGCCCGCGAAAACATGGATGCTATTGCCGTGCCTGATGAAATGGAGTTTGACATCGAGGCGGATAAGCGTCCCCACGAACTGGAGCAGGAATCTGACGTCTTTTTGGCCAGCAATCTCGAGCAGCAGCTGCTCAACGGAGCCGGGAATGAGGAGCCAGTTGATACACTCGACCATGGACCGGAGACCTGTGTGGACCTGGACGTTTCGCTGGATCAGCTGCCCGCTGACGACGACGTCATGAAGCAATCGATCTACGCCGAGCACAACGCCTCGATTGAGGAAATCCTAAACTCCGTTCAGCCGCTGCCCGAGGAGATCGGTGACGAGAAGGAGCTGCTGCACGTGGAGGAGAAGGAACATGTATCGCAGTCTCCCTCCACTGAGGAGCTGCAGTTCCAGCAGGAGTTCCAGCAGGTGCGTCACCAGCCGCCCTTCTTTGGCGGCGCAGGCGAGGATCCTATGCAGGCATCTTTTTATTTGGAGCACACATCGCTGGAGGCGCAGAAGGAGCAAGAGCATGAGCTGGAGGAGCAGCACCAACAGCCGGCTGACACCTCCGATCCCTTTGCCGAACAAAGCCTGTTACTGGACACCAGTGCTCCGGTGTTCAGTCCTGAGGCCCATGAGCCTGTGGCCAAGTTGGAGCTGGAATCGCAGCAGGCCGACATAGTGGACATCACACCATCGCCGCTCTCGTCCACCGAAGAAAAGCATCTGGTCGAGGACACCAAGGAGCTAGTTGAGGAGCCAAAAAGCGTGGAAATCGAGACAGAACTCCTTAAGGAGCAGGATTTGGAGCTGGAATCCAGGCAGGAACCTACTCTGGAGCGTCATTTGGAACAGGATACCCATATATTTGAGCCCTTCTCGGCCGGAGCTCCTCCCCAGGTAAGCTGTCAATTTAAAAGGTAGCAATTCTCGGGGGTCGCGGGATAGAAGATGACTCATTCAAAGTGCCAAAAGTCATCATTATGCACTCGTCATCTACAACCCCGAGTGGCAGTGCGTGTCCTGTGTGTCTATGTGTGTGTTAATTTTTCCTGCCACGCTTCCTGCCCCGTTTTGTTGCCCTGTTGTCCTTGCCTCTCACCTGGACAGGCCGGGCGGTAAAAGGAGAAATCATTAAATTTGTTGGTATACTACTCCTTTGTCTCTACTCCTGACATGTGCATTTTCTCCTCTCGCCCTTTTTGCTGCCTGTCCTCTCTTTCCGTCTCTCTTCCATATCCTCACAGTGTGCTGTCCTGCTGTTAAACCACAAGTAGAAAGTGAAATGTTTTCGTTTATCCCGGGGGTTTTGAATCTAAAATATCTACATACATACACATGTGTGTGTATATAAAGAGCTGGATAAGATTAGTTTAATGACTTCATTAAATTTAATTACTAAAAATGCTGGTAATTTTCTTCCCTCACCTTAATGTACACTTAAACCTATAGCTCATATTGAGGCTCCACTATATTGCATTTTTATTCTGGGGTGTGTTCCCTCGACCCGCTCACGCGTCGCTGTCGGCGTCGCTGCTTCTGCGCTCCTTTTTGCCTTGCTCCTGCTCCTGCTCTCCATCTGTCTCGGTCATGTCCTCGCCCTCGTTCCTGTCCACCTCCTTCTCCGCCTCCTCGCTCGCTCGCTTTGTTCGCTGCATTCGGGTGGGGTCGTCGTGTGCTTGGTTGCGGGTCGACTGCCACTCAATTTTTACACTCAACGGGACACGCAAGTGCTTTCCCATTGCCCGGAGTCGGTGGTGTTAAGGTCCTGGCGTTCTCCCGGGTGCGGGTTTCCTCTGGGTTTTCTGTGCTTTAAATTCCATTTTCAAATAATTAAGGGAGGTCCACAAGGGGGTAGTTTACATTTTATTGTCTAACTTGCTTTTGGCCACTTTAAATTGTTGACCTCATGTCTGTACAAGGAAATGGAAATTTCGGGGTGTTTTTTTATTTAAGAAATCTCTGGAGGCACAGGACATTTCAAAACAATACAATTTGGTGTTAAAAAGTAAATAATTTCGAAAGGCTTTCAGTTTTCAAACCATTTAAACTGTAGATATTATAAAACCCTTAAAAACATACAAATAATTTAATAATATTTTTTATTATTATTTTTATTATTTATTATTACAACAAATTGAATTGGGACACTTCATGTTACCAATTGGTTTTTTAAGCATCTTGTTAGAGTTCGATATCCGTTCCAATTGGGACTTTTGTTAGCTGCGGTCAAATGCACATTTTCTTGTATGTACTCAACTTGGGGTCTCTTCAGCCTTTCGCTCTCTCTATCGCTCTCTCTCTGTTTCTGTCTGCAATCTGCATGACCAGCAACACCAACAACATGTGTAACAGTAAATGGCGTTGCCAACTGCGGCAATAGTTGCCAACCTTTTCGCTTGGTTGCAAATTCTCCGGCTCCAATGCACACACACATACACACGAACACAGACACGCTTTCATAATTACAACAACAATAACATCCAACAGCTGCACCAGAAAGAGAAGGAGCAAAACAGCGATAACTTTGGGTTCATTTAATTGGGTCATATACGGTTTTTCGCTTGCATGTGTATACGATTTTTATGATTTTTTTGTTGTTAATTTTCCTCTTTCTCTCCCTCACCCTCACCCTCCTCTCTTTCTCATTCCCAATGTCTGCTTTGCATTTGCTTTGGCTGACCCATTGTTGTTGTTATCGGCACTTCCTGTGGGAGTTTTGTTTTGTGTATAATTTACGCCCTGCAACTTTACTTCTTCTTTGTGTTCCGCTGCTTCTTTCCCACTCTTCGCTCTTCGTTGCATATTATACTTATTTATGTATCAAAGTGATTTGTGCCGCTTGTCTCCTTTTGCAATCGCTTTTATTATCAATCCGTTTTGGCGATTCCTCTCTGCCTCGTCCCCTTTCTTTTTGCTCTCTCGCTCTCTTTCTGTTGACCCGGCATTCGTTCCTTTCTTTGCTTTGATTCGATTCCGTTTCGTGCCGCATACCAATTATTATTACTGTTTATATATGTCAACAATAAGAAACAACAAAATGAGCGTAGCAGACAGCTTGTCACCACCGACAACAACAACAACACACTGTTGTAAACAAATCAAAAAGTAAAACAAACGCCAAAGAAACACGGAAACAACAATAGTTTTATCAAAAACACACAATTAAACACAGTGTTTGGTTTTCAAGTGGTGTGCGTGTGTGTGTGTGGTCAAGTGGTCATTAAGTTGTAAGTTTAGATTGATTTATTGACAGATACAAACGATGATTGTCTGTTAATTAGCAGATGATAGAAGCCAGGGGCAGTGACAGTCACAAATTATGCTAATTTTACATTCGATGGGCCCCCTTCCCCCTTCAGGAGAATGTTATATTGAGAAACAAAAAACATATATTATTAATATAGCTCAGAAATAGATTTTTCGGCTCTCAATGTCAAATCAATTTAACTCAATTTAAATTAAAAACCAGAAACATGTTAGAAAAAAACTTTTCAATTGAGTATTTAGGTTTTTAAACATTTCATTACTGATTTATCGGAAAAAATGAATTTTTCTTATTGAACTTTATCGATTCAAGTATAACGTGCGCCTGTAGAAATAGCCGATAGAATCTCTTTACATTTTCGATATAAATTATATCCTAAAGTACTGTTGCCTCCTAAAATCATATTTAAAACACATATTAAGACATAATAAGTAGTCAGAAATTTACAATTTAAAATGTTTCCTAGATTTAAAAGTATCAAATGCATGACATGCATTCTACAACAATCCAACACTCACTGCACTTTGAACCGTATCACATCGATCATGCCACAGCTCTATTTTTAAATTTGCACATTATCAAAGGCGCCAGGCTCTAATCAGATGATTAAAATCCATAAACAGAGGGGTTGCACTCAAATTTGTAGACTGACAAACAACTGAACTGATAAATGCGCAAATTTGTTCACGGGTCTAGTTTATGACTCAGCTTCCCATAGGAAAACTAACAGAGAAACCGAAAGCTCTCAGTTCGGAACTAAAACAAACAAGGCCCCGAATAGAATTACGATTTCAGTTTCCAAATTCAACTACAAATTGTATTGTGGAGGCAACTTTCGCCAGTGCAGCAGCCACAGTTCACACAATTCGCATGACATTTGCTGAAACCTTTTCAGCTTAATTAAAATTTATACAATTTACATACTACGTATCATTGTGTTAGATGGAATACCATGATAACTGGTCGCCAGCCCAGACCGCATTATTATACATTTTTGCTCTTATAATATTTGTTGTTATTGTTTTTGCGGCCGCTGTCCGTAATTGAGGGAATTTGTAATTTAAAACAGCGCAAAAAGTGTATCAAATGTCTATCTGTGTGTGTGCGGGTGTGACTAAGCGACCTCCCGAAAATAAGTGTATATAAAACTGAAAGCTTGATGAAAATTTCAGCGGTTTTATTCGTTTAATTCCAAGCCCTGACCCCTCAGCACGTGGCTGCTGTAAAAAGGGTTTAATTCGTAGAAATAGGGAAATACATATATGTACCTATTACGTGAGGGTATAAAACACAGATGTATTAAAACATTTTTCACTTTACAGAGATAACTGAATAAATAGGAATACTAATAATTACACCTTGAAACATTTTTAACGGAATCAAAATATTTCTTTAATATAAATTTATAAAATCTATAAAAATTCTAAAAGTAAATAATTCGTATAAAATATATTAATAATGAATAAGAAAATGAGAATCAATATATTGAAAATTGTATTAAATATTCTTACTTATTAAAAAACATTTAAAACTAGTCACTTTAATCTATATTTGGGTAAAAATATTATATTATAGTTTTCCAATAAAAATCAACGTAAGCCAAGAGTAAGTGGCTGTAAAAGCCAAACAACGATTTATGGCCTGTCTTACAAAATGTCTAAAAGCCTAGAGAAAACGAGCTGGAAGCCTTGGCTCCAGTTTTTTGCAACTTAAGAGAGAGAAAGAAAGAGCAGAGTACAGCTTAGGCTATAATTAAGTCTGAAAATCCATTAAGATTATTAACTCAATTAAAATTGTTGCTCGCTTCTTCACTCTACCGTTTTTATATATTTTTTGTGTGTTTGCGGGTAATTTAGTTCACCCATACAGAGGCACAAAGGAGGGGATTTTTTTATTTGATTTTTTTTTAGCTTTTTTTTAGTAGGCGCCACTCGATGGCTTGCTTGGCTATGGGAATGCAATTGCCATTGACGGGCGACGGTCTGATTTTCCCTGTTACTGTGCCGGCTGCCCAGCCTACGCGACGCGTCTGCCCACACGGGACAAGTGCTTAGAGATGCAGATAGTTAGATACAGACTACCCACCTTTGGCCGTATCACACATATAGGATAGACGCCCAAAAAAAAAGAGATATGTATGTACATATATGTGTAAAGTAATCAGAGCAGTCCCAGAAAAGGAAATAATAGATGCATAGATTTCATGTGAATTAAAAAAATATTTGATCTTTTTGCAGATTTAAGAACTTTATAATTGGGGGAAAATTGAATTTTTAAAGTTACTTATAAATTTATAAATCAAATGCCTATATTATTATAAGGTATTCAGTATGTTACCAGAAATTTAATGTCTTAAAAAGTACACCATTTCGAAGAAACTAAAAATATTCTTAGATATTTTACTGTCTTGTTTTTTTATGCTTTGTAAGACTTTCTTGCAATTTGTTTTAACGTTGGATTGGCAATGCTATTATTCTGACCGTAATTGTGTGATTTTTTTTGTATTTTGTATCTGTGCACATTGGCCTGTGTATCTGAGCGAAACTCGTTTCATTTTGCGGTTTCTCAGCAGCGACGATGAGGCCCCAAAAAGCCAAAAAGCAGAACAATTGCAGGCCAAGACAAGAAATCT